CACTGCAGGCCTGATAGAAGCCCTCCGGGGGCCTGATTTGGCCCTTAGGCTGCATGTTTGACACCCCTGCCCTAAGCTTTGATGAACACATTCAAACCAGAGAGAGAATACCTGGAGAAATCTCAGGGGGTGAAGGGGGGAAATGAACAAATTTCCTAATCATCCGGGGTTTGTAACTATCAAAAATTGGCCATTTTTTTAAAAAAAGCAGCAAATACTTGGAAATCTGCTGTGTGCACAATTAAGAAGTAAAGCATTTTCTGACTAAATTAACATAGAAGCAAACTAGAACGATTGGAAATGGTAGGTGAGAATGATGGAAATCCTTTGGAAAACACAAAATCCTGCAGCAGTCTCTAAAAGCTTAACTCAAAACAACAGAAGACAACCAACACTGGCAAATCTTTACCGGAAACATAATGCACTATTTATTTTGCCAGACTGCATCTGACCAAGGGAGCTTTGAGTCTTGAAAGCTTATACACTGCAACTCTTGTTGGTCTCTAAGGTGCTACTGGATTCGAATCATACCATTTTATTTTGTGAATATCAGAAGTAATTGAAGGCCTCCACCTTGTAAGTCAGATTGCCCTATTAACACGGGCTACTTCCAAGGCATAGAAATCAATGTGCTTAGACTGCAGAAACCCTTCATAGCATTGCACTGTTTTTCTTTACTTCCACTCTCAGACTTACAAGGGGCCAATTAAATGACTGATATTTGAATTAAGCCTGGCTTTTATATTTTCAGCTGGTAGTAGCAACTCTTGCGTCTATCTGTGTCATTAACCCTCAGTGCGACTTGATGCCTCCTGTTTCTCAGGAGCTCAGGACAGTTTACATGGCTCTCCCCTTGGCTATCTTACCCTCACAATAGGGTCGCTAGGTCCCCCTTGGCCACTGGTGAGGGATGGGGAGTTAAGAGTTGCCAGATCCAGGTTGGGAGACTCTTGGAGATTTGGGAGTGGAGCCTGGGGAGGACGGGGACCTCAGTGGGGTACAATGCCACAGAGTCCACCCTCCAAAGCAGCCATTTTCTCCAGGGGAACTGATCTCTGTAGTCTGGAGATGAGCTGTAATTCTGGGGGATCCCCAGGTCCCACCTGGAGGCTGGCATCCCTGCCTCACAATGACTCTGAAGTAGGTCAGTTTACAAGAAGGTGACTCACCCAGGGTCATGTAGAGAGAGATCCATAGCCGAGTGGGGAATTGAAGCCTTCTCCCAAGTCACAGTTCACCACATTGCCCAGATTACCTTTACGTGAAGTGCTTTGCATCTACAACCATCTAATTAAACCCACAACATCTCCAATTCTCCAACATCACTACAAGCTGCAGCTCTGGGGCTTCTCCATCTTGTCTGAAACATTTACAAACATACGCACGCACACACCCCACCTTATTTTTTGTACTGAACATCTAGCCTGCTTAAGAATTCTTGCTTGCTATTTGATTATATTTTGTTTGGGCCTGATACTAAAAAGGTAAAGGTTCCCTTGCCCAAAAGCCAGTCGAATCCGACTCTAGGATTGCGGTGCTCATCTCCGTTTCAAAGCTGAAGAGCCAGCGCTGTCCGAAGACATTTCCGTGGTCATGTGGCTGGCATGACTAAACCAAGGCGCATGGAACGCTGTTACCTTCCCACTGAAGTGGTACCTATTTATCTACTTGCAATTTCTTGCTTTCGAACTGCTAGGGTGGCAGGAGCTGGAACTAGAGACGGGAGCTCACTCCGTCATGCGGCACACTCGGGTCTCAAACTGCTGAACTACTGACCTTCCACAGCCTGCAGTTCAGCGTCTTAACCACTTGAGCCACCACAGCTCCTGGGCCTGATACTACACAGCTGGGAACTCTCTGTTGTCACATTCCTATGGCATGCTCTTGCTTCCTAGCACAAACATAAACTAATCACAGATGGTAAGTTCCAACACCGTTATTTCCCCCTATACAATTATAACTATTTTTTGTTAGTTGGCTTGCAATTCTGTCCTCCCACAGCAACGGTCACAGCAGCATTTTCTTCTGGAGCAAAGACTGCCTCGTGCCCATGCAGGGGACAGGACCTCAAGCGTGCAGGGATCAGTCAAACCACCACTTGCATCTCTCCCGCAGCAGACAGGCAGGCAGATGAGGCTGCCTGCTGGAGAATGCTGGAACTGGCAGCTGAGCAGACGATTCAGTTGGGAGGGGCCACCAGAATGAAATGCAAACTAAGGTCCAATCTGCACCTAGCATTTGCTCCGCTGTTTTCCCAAACCCACACTGGAACAGAAAAAGATGCAGCTCAAAACCACATTAAAATACCTCGGGTCAACGTCATACTGACTGCAGAGTTACCCCTGAATAGCCATAAAATGGCCATAAATCTATGCAGATGGCTACCATAGAACCGAGAGATCGAATGAAGTGAAAGCGGCACGCAGTCTGGACACTGCCATAAAATCTGACAAACAATCAAAGTAAAAGTGGCATGCAACGTAGAGGGGAATTTCTGTTCCATCGTGGGTTTGGTAAGACAGTGGAGCAAATGCTAGATGCAGATTGGGCCTAAAAGAGGGGGGGGGGGGGGGAGGAGAGAAGGGAAAATATCATTAAAATGATTTGTGTACCTTTAAAAGCTTCACAGAAGCAAGAATCGTAAGAACATAAGAGCGTTTCAGAAGGCAGCCATGTTGGTCTGCAGTCAAACAGCTGGATTCGAGTCCAGCAGCACCTTAAGAGACCAAGGAGTTTCAGGGTACAAGCTTTCGAGAGTCAACGCTCCCTTCCTTGGACACAAGTCAGAACTGACATAACAAGAATCAAACCAATGGGCCATCTAGTCCAGCATTCTGTTTCATGCAGTGGCCAAGACTGGAACTAGAGTTGCCACCTCTAGGCTGAGATTTTGGGGGTAGAGCCTGGGGAGGAGAGGGACCTCGCTGGGGTATAATGCCATAGAAGCCACCCTTTAAAGCAGCCATTTTTCTCCAGGGGAACTGATCTCGATAGTCTGGAGTTCACTGAGTAAACAAGCACTTTCTTTTATCCACTGTCATAAATCTAATGTTCAACAGCTTCATTGGGTGGCCCTAGAGCAGTGGTGGCGAACCTATGGCACGGGTGCCAGAGGTGGCACTCAGAGCCCTCTCTGTGGGCCCGCGTGCCATCGCCCCAGCCAGGCCTAGACCGTCATTAAAGTGTCGAATTCTCTGCCAAATAATTTTAAGTAAAATAAAGCATTTGGGATTGCTTTCCTTACTTTGTTTGGATCATCTTAAGTTAATGTATGAGTTGTTTTTTCTAAAGTAAAACCTCAGTATTCAGGTTAAATTGGCGTGTTGGCACTTTGCGATAAATAAGTGGGTTTTGGGTCGCAGTTTGGGCACTCGGTCTCTAAAAGGTTCGCCATTACTGCCCTAGAGAATCCATGTGAACTGCAAAATTCTCCTTTCTTTACAACACTCATAAATACATTGACCTGAAAACAAACTCTTCTGCTGGAAAAATGCAAGTCCTTTTATGGATAAGGGTTCTTTCTGGTTGTGTAACTTACAGCTAGAGGGTTCCTTTCTCATCGAAGCCCAAACGACTTCAGGTCAGAGACATCAAACAATACTTGGAACTGGTTTGGTTTGATTCAGGAGACAACACATACCTTTGTATGCTTCTGGCAAAAGCACATAACCTAGTTCGGATTACCTGAGTCAGCTTTTAGGTTCCATATTAACATCCATGGAGCTTGCAGGAAAGCACAATTAGGCAGCAATTTCTTGAGCAAGATATGTACCCATTCATCGTTAAACAAGCCACAGGTAAACTAAAATACAGTTCAAAAGTTGAAAAGCATCTTTCCTAAAAGTCTTAATTAATCCTATTAGTAGCTATGTCAAAGTTCAGTAGCTTTCCAGGAAACATCTGTTTCTCAAATAGTTTCACCACCCTGTGGTATGATCACAATTTTTTGCAAGAATACTTAAAATTATGTTGCTTTCACAGAAAGATCTTGTCTACTCCAGGCAGCCTTCAGTTTAAGTAAACCTTTATTATCCGTGCAATCCTAAACAAAGACACAGCCTTCTAAATCCATTGGCTTTTGGACTTAAAAGAGTATAACTGAGTTTAGAATTGCACTGTTTAATAGTCAGTAAATCTTGCACGTTTGACAGAAACTGCAGGCTTCAGCGTCCAGGAAGTCTTCTTTACAATCTCAACTAGAAATGACTGGCTTCAGGATCACACAGATCTCCAGATATTATCCAACCCAGAACTGACAACCCTAATTTGTTCTTTGGATTGCACTGTTAAACTGAAACGTGCTTACTTCACAGCACACTCATTTGGAGTCCACTCAGCAACACTGGTTTCTGAGCAGGCACAGCCAGGCCGGTTGCCAGCTCCAGGTTGGGGAATACCTGGAGATTGGGGGGGCGGAGCCTGAGGAGGGTGGGGTTTGGGAGGGACTTCAGTGGACTATAATGCCATAGTGTCTACCTTCCACGGTGGCCATTTTCTCCAGGTGAACTTTTCGCTGTCGCCTAGAGATCAGTTGTAATAGCGGGAGATCTCCAGCCATCTCCTGGAGCTTGGCAACCCTAGGCACCACATGACACTCAAAACAAAAAAACCCCTTGCATACCCGAGTCCTGTATATACGATTAATCTCAGTGCAAACGCGTTAGATATATCGCATTAACTTGCATTCTAAAAACAATTTCCACGAGCTAAGCATTCCACAAAACAAGAAATTCGATCCGCGCAAAATGCGCGTGCGCTGCACTCTCACACTTGACACCGCCCTCGGTCTCTATGGCACATTCCTGAGCCTATATTCCCCGAGAATCTTTTCATTGCACAACGTCATGCCTGCGCCTTGCGCCTGCGCCTTAGGGGCTCCCTAGTCAGGCCTCGAGGAGGGGAGCTCCATTTGCGCACGCGCCGTGAAGGCTTTCCCTTCCTCCCTCCTCCTCCTCCTCCTTTTTTTTTTAACGGTAAACATCCTGCTGATTTTTGAACGGTTGGTTTGGGCGGCAGGAAGGAGAGCCGCCGCCATCTTGTTTGTTTGAGTGACTCGGAGAGGGGGGTGGGGGGAGAACCAGGGACAGGGGAGCGGCGGTCCCCCCCCAGCGCCCGCCCGAGCTGACGGAGCCCGCCCTGGGACTCGAGGTAAGGGGCCTGAGCCGGCGGAGGAGTGAGCACCCTCGGGAGGGAGCGCAAGCGAGGCTGGCGGCGGGGGGAGGCCTCGGCCACCAATACGGGGGGGGGGGGGACCCAGCTCAGCAGCTGCCTCTTCAGCGGGCGGGGAAGGCGGCTTCCTCTTCGCTCCTCTCTGGTTCCCCTTTGGGTGGGCGCAGCCCTGCTTTCGGGGGCTCGGCGATGGCAAGGGCAGAAGGGAAGGGCCATTCTCCCTTTTTCTTACGGCCCCGCTCCGCGGATCTCGCTTTCCTTTTTCCTAGGATCATCCTGGGAGGGCTGCTGCCCTGTCACGCGGCCGTTGCCCCAGAATGAGGCTTAAGACCAATGTTCCCTCTAAGCTGCGGAGTCTTGTGAGCAAAAATTCTACTTTGTGAGCTCCTGGCATTAAAGTTGCGAGCGAGCGATTTGGCTACTGCATAAATTGGTTTGCTCTGGAGCCGTCCTCTTTGAGCTGAGACAAAAATGTGTGAGCTGGAGGCTAAAAAACTGTGAGCTGGCTCACACTAACTCAGCTTAGAGGGAACACTGCTTAAGACCCCCCCACACACACACACACGCACACACCCCTTTTCTTTTGTAAGGGAATGCTTTGAAATGGCTGTCCGGGCCATCCTCAAACGCCCCCCCCCCCTTCAAGGAGCGGTAGCATGCGTGGGTGTTCAGGGTTCACATCATCCCCCTTTCACCCACGTGGAGAGGCTGACTTTGGGGCGTCGTCTCGCAGCCTGACCGACCTCTTAGGTCGTGGCTGTGAGGGCAAAACGGGAGGAGGAGGAGACAGAACCGCGTGTGCATCTCTGCCTGCTCGGAGGAAGGGTGTCACGGATCTGTGCCATTCCTTTTGCAAGAACGTTCGCTTTCCTGTTGTTGTGTGTTTGTTGCTTGATGTGCGAATGGAACTGAAGTGTGCTGCGTGTGTGTGTGTTTTGGCACAGCCCCCCTTGCTGGAAAAGTATCTCTTGGTTTGAAAAGCTCGCCCATGAGTTAGCAATGCAAAAGGGGGGGGGACTACCCGCCACTCCCCCCCCTCGGTCCGCTTATGGACTCCCAAATATTATAGCTTCCTCCGTATATAAGAAGAATGAGCCTGGCAGCTGCAGTTTCTGCCACTGGCCTTCTCAACTTCCTGAATGTTTGGTTTGCGTGGAGGAGTCTGGCAGGCAGGCAAAGGCCAGTGGGCTCTCATGTGCCTTCAGTTCATAGCACCAGCAGGGCAGTTGAGGTGTGTTTTACGCTGGTCTCTTATGGGAAAGCACATTTTCCTGTCAGATTTATAATTTCTGGAAGGAAAAAGAAATGCTAGCTTGGGCATTTACAAGAAAGTAAAAACTTTTTTTTCCTAGAGAGAGTAATGCTGTGTGCAGTTCATCTGTTAAACATCTTCATTAGGTTGCATGCTAATTGGTGCTCATCCTCTAACTGTATGTATGGGCTGGTAACTTCCATTTCAGTGTATCTGAGGAAGTGTGCATGCACATGAAAGCTAATGCCTTTAATAAAACTTTGTTGGTTCTAAAGGTGCCACTGGACTTGAATATTGTCCTGTTGCTTCAGACCAACACTGCTGCCAGCCTGAATCCATTTTGCTTTTGTCATTGGAGAAGTAAATTAAGCAATAGCTAAGATCATTTAGTTCAGACTTCTTGCAGCAACAATTTCTTACTGTTTTATACTTGAGGAGTATTGATGCTTGTGGAGATTTTTATAGGATTACAACAGGCCTGATTGTTTTCCTTCCCACTATTGGAATGCAAGAGGACCTTGGTCTGTTCTTTTCCTCTATTGTCCCGTCGTCTGTCCCCCCGCCCTTGGAAGTTATTGAGGTAATAGTATATGGCCATAATCCACTAGAGCAAGAAAATACAGCATTCTAAGCATTTCGGTTTGTTAGAAACACAAGCTACAGTGTCAGATAGTACCTTGTTGTTCAGTCAATGTGGAAGAGCCTTAAATATATAACTAGCAGTTATTTGAATAGAATTCTAAGTTACAGGCATATTCTCATTAGTGGATTATCTGGCACTGTATTAAGTCAAATGGCGGGAAACAGTGGGAACTCTCTGAAGGCCCACTGCATATGATGGGAGCCAGTAATTTTTTTTACTTCGCTGGACTATATTGAAGTGCTGTAAAGGTGGAAATAGAAGATGGAATGGATTAAGAGAAATAATGGATTTCACTCATTCTGTTCCCTGTGAAAGTCATGGTTGTCCCCCCCCTCCTTTTGCACAGTTGACAAGTATAAACCCTCCCCTTTACCCTGTCACTGTCCTTCTTTGGAGGCCCACTCTGTCCAGGCTTGCTTCCTTCTCTTCAGTATTCCTTTTATCTAGCACCCTCTGCACTTTCTTCTCCTCTAGTGATCTCTGGAACTTGCACCCTACCTCTGTGAAAACATTGCAGCTCTTTAGCTAGGCATTGTCTGCTCTCATATGTGAACACTTGAATATATAAAGCTTTCTGGAGCAAGCCAGGCCATTGGTCCATGTTGACCAATGCACTAGTGAGTGTCCAGCCATCAATGTGTGGAAGTTTCCTTGTATTCCTCTCCATTCCTGAAGCCCCTTCTGAACCCCAGAAGGATCATTCCTGGGTGTCACAGGATCTGTGCAAAGGAACAGCTGTGTGGGTCAGTGGACTTTAGTGAGGAGGGACAAGGAAATAACATTGCCCTCTCTCCTCAGTGGGGCTCTCCTAACAGAAGAGTGATTGCACCACCTTATCCTTTCCTCGCTTGAGCCTCCTTCCCTCCCACAACTGTTCTTCAGTGCTGGTCCTGTGACTCTGGAGATAATCTATCTGGGGTAGGGAGAGGCTGCGGGAACAGAGAAGCATGTAGGAAAACTCCACCTTCCATTCACAGGTTTGTAGGCTGGAGGCCATTAACTGCAAGAGGCTCTTCAGTATTAGGCTTAGGTCAGGATTTCTTTGCTTTTCCCCTTTGAGTCTTTTCTACCTTCTTTTCTAGCTCCCTGACTCCCTTGATTTCCTCGTTCTGTCGCACACTTATCTGTTGTTCACAAATGGCAGTTACAGAGACCTTTTGGCATTGACATAGACACTAGCAGCACCTGGTCACCATGCTCAAAAGAGTCACACCAGGGCATCTTCACAATGCAAGACTGTATGGTGCACTGTTGTGGCTGCAGGAAATTGGTGTCATACAGCTTGCCTACTGCCC